GAACGAGATCGATTGCGATGGACGGTCCAAATTAACGCGGGATTGTTATAAATACTTTGCATCACACGGAAACCTAAATCTTAACCGTCAGCCTCCACTAGAGAAGAAGAACCATACGCTGGAGAAGAAAGCCGACTGCCAATCATCGCCACGCTGGAGCCACCACTGACTACTAAAAAAGGTAAAAAAAATTCATACCCCCTCGGAATTCGATTCTGAGTACCCTTTTGCCTAAATCGAAGTAAGAGGAACAGTGGGTGAGCTGAAAACTATGGACAAAACTCGGCGGAGCCGCGGCAGCTAAAATTCTAAAACTCCTCTAATGAGCCACTTTTCGATTTCTGTTTTACATAATTTTTCGATCATTGTGTTCACCGTCTTTTTCTGTGCAGTGTAGCCGAAGAAAGAACCTCAGTCACGAAGGAGGACTGGCGGAGCCACCGCACTCGGAGGTATCCCCACCAACAAGTTCGATTTTGGTAATTTTTTGACAAACCGAGGCCCTTTACGTATTTTTTTGCAGGAATACGGCCAAAACCAGCTAAAATTAGCCAGGGCGAGGCTAACCGCCGTCGTGGGCGACAGAGCCGGCACCAGAACGCCGCCATGACGAAACCCCAAATTTGGCCGGAATGAGTTTTGGACACCGATTTTAAATTTTTTCATATATTTTTAGGTATGTGACGAGTATTTTAAATTTTACGAAAAAAATTCAGGGAATATTAACTCATTAGGAGGTGCAGCAGACAGCTCGATATCTCAAAATACTAATCCGGGTAAGGATCTTTCGCCATATTCTCCGTTACGATAAATCTTTCACGCTATTCTCCGTTATGATAAATTGAGGTTTAATAATGTATAAATTTGTATTTTTATGAAAAATTAGAAAATCCTAAAAATAATTACATGTTACTAGTAGAGTCAGAACCAGTTAGTTCACAATTATCTTGATTCTTGTCTATTTTTCTGTTACTTGCTTGATTTTCGTATAACACATATTCTTAATTTATAATTCAATAGTCTTATCAACTTATCTGGTTATTTTGTTTATATAACATCAACATAAATATAGTTTAATTAATCTGTGAATATGATATGAGATATTGGTATGAGTTTGTTGGTTGTTTGCTATAAGAATCTTTATGTGAAAGACTTACTGGGTACCCAGAAAAAGGATAGAAGAGTTAGGTATATAGGGAACCCTACCAATAACGTTACCTTAGTCAGACAGGGCTAAGAAATCCTTTACCGAGAATGTTTGGAAGATATGGTTCATCCTCATATCGAACGGAATATCGAGACAATCAAATATTTGGCGCTCATTACTAGACGAGATATCTGGACGGCCGGTTAATTGTTAAAATTTGATATTGGGTTCACGAGTAGGAAGGACACCCATATGGACCCGTAAGGATACCAATAAGGAGGTAAAAAATAAAAATTATTATTTATCGTTCTCTTATGAGTGAAAGTAAAAAGTGATATAGATATGAGTCTTCATAGGTTGTTTTTAGAAAACTCGTTACGGTAAGTGCGGAACAAACGGTCTTAGGATGTCTAGTTTTTCGTTTTTCGTTTTATTTCTTTAATTTTCGTTTTTTTTTTAAATGCATATTCTCGTAATCCTATTGGGCATTCAAAATTATTACGTAAGAAATATAAACACTAACTCTATTAATTGTTTCTGCATTAAATTTATAAATTTATTTTTCTTTAAGTTTCATACCCTTAAATTTGTATTATTCTCCTATTCTCGATTATAAATTTTTATTCATTTTTTTTATTTTTTTAAAATTAAATTCAATAAGTAAAATATTTCGAATTCAAGCGTCATTAATTCAATAATTTTTGAAAAAATGAGTCACTAGAAAATTAAATTTCTATTAAAAAAGTGGTCAACTTCAAATTATGAGGTCAAATTTTGTAGTTTACATTAAGGCAACTAAAATTAAAAGATCCAAATTCATGAAGAACATTTTGGTCAAACTAAAATTAAATTAGTTCCTTCCCCCCCCCTCCTTGGCAGTAACAACTCTTGCCTTTGACATATCACATTGTTGTGACGCAGGGGTATCCTCAAATCTCCCAACTTTGCTTTGAGGCTACGCTCTCGTGCCGTGGAAAATACTCCTATCACCACCAACAACAAAAAAAAACAAAAACAAACCCTAATTTAAACAGTATAAAATTAATTATATACATACAAAACATAGATTCTAAAAAATTCATGTAATTACTGAATAATCATTATAAATTAGTTACCATCAATTTAATTATATTTAAAAAATCACAGTTAAATTATAAATTTAATGAATCAAATATTATAAATTAATTATCATCAATTTAAATATATTTAATAAAAGTGCTCGAAATGATAAAATTTTATATCGATAAAAGTTCGTAAGTGAGAAAGAATGAGAAAAATTAATGACAATAAAACAAAAGAAACATGGGTAAAATTGTATTTTGTCTTTTATGTGTGTGTGTGTGTATATATGTGTGTGTAGGGTATGAATTGTATAGTGGGGGGTTTAAAAAAGTGACCCTCCATTTTCTTTGACAAGCTCTTTTGGGCATTAGGGGCAGAGACAATGATTATGGCGGGCATTTGGGCTGATGACCCTTCTTCTACTGCTTTATCAATAAATGAAAGTAAA